TGCGGTGTTGGCAGCTCAAGGACGGTAACATTATGCTCCGCCCCCATTTCTTCTTCGACCAGCTAAAATAATGGTCATCACAGCGGTACAATAAACCTTCGTCCCGAACTCTAAACCACGTCTTTTGTGCCTGGGCTCTCGGCCTCACATTACTGATGATGTGCTATTTTGACGCTTCGAAGTGCGACGCTCGTCTAAATAACATTTAAGAATACAATTCGCACTCCCAAAGAAAACAAAGATCAAAGTTGTTAACGCTAAGCAGTTGAGGATCTAGCGGCAGTGAGCACGAAGATGGCTGTCTTCTGGGTCCTTGCTGCCTGCAACGAGCCTTCATGACGGAACATCTAAAACGTCGGTAAACATCTACCAGACTACAAGGTGCTTCGATCCAGAAGACAGCCATCTTGCGAAATGCTGTTTACTGAGAATCGTACGAAACGCACATAAGTCCGTTTATAAATCGAGGACATCTTGCCGGAATGGCATCCATTATAAAAATTTGTGATTTACGTAAGGTAAATTCTTCCATTTATTTGGTTTGACATTCGCATTATCACTGTTCATGCGCCCAAACGTAACTGCACCATCTGACATGGCATCTTCTGCGATTTCTACCAGACCGTATGGTGCAACATCCCAGAAGAGATAAGCCCATTATTCATGAAAAGTGTTTGCATTTCAGTTCTGATACACTCAGAAACAGTTTGACCCTAACCTTACAATAATACTAACCTAAATGAGAACTGTGACAGCTGTGTTACCTTCTTTCTTTCAGGTGGTGGTACTCCCAATGTTGGTAGCTTTAACAGCAGCAGGGGGGTCAGGATCACTTAATTACACCACTGACTGGTGGGCAGGTGCTGTGGAAGAAGACGCAATTCGACCGCTACCTCTCGATGGGGAAGGAGGTCTCTGGACGAGTTCCTTCATACCGCCTCCGCCAAGACCCGACTTCTTGGATGATCGCGTCACACCAGATGGACTGACGACTTGCGATTTGTGCACGTGGGCATGGCATGAGAGGGGCCACTTCTTTCTGGACCCCACACATGGTATTTATGTACTGCTGTAATGATTAAAACAATATGGGACTGTGACAGCTGTCAGACACAGCTGCACGGCGATCATTGTTTTGAGTTAGTAACACTGGACACTTCGTAGGATTCCTCCTGCTAGAAATAATCAAATACCTTTAAAACTAGACATCTAATTTGTCTGCACACAATTTGATGTGTACATCACAGATCATCCATTTTTAGAGCAGTAAAATGCCACTAGAACAAAACGGCATTGTAATACTTGATTTAGCATCACTGATGACCGAATTAAAATAACATACAAGACTGCATAACTTGGGTAATTAAATATCTTCGATATTGCTTTCGCTCCCTTTAATTTGCTGATTAGATTATTAATTTAGCAATTTAATCCAATTCTTTTTTTATTCTTAATGATATTTAATAGCCATTGTGTCTTGGCGACTTCAAGAAATGTGATGTAATTTTAATTGTTTGTCTAACTCCCATACCATTAGCCTCAGTTTTATTCAGGCACATTACACAAGCAGGCAAAGTGTGCACTAATAAAGACATGGTCACATTGATGTACTTGCCAGAAACCATTAAAAGAATGAATGAGATTGTCTCTGATGATAACTTTTGTGTAATGTGTAATTTTAGAAACTTCAGGGGAACTGGGCTGGGTGCTCACACTTGCCATTGTGTCGATATTATCGGCGGCAGTCGGCGCAGTGGTCATGGTTACCGTGCTCCAGTGTCGGAAGTGAGTTTCATATTTGCACCAACTCCTAACAGCTAATTTTCACATACAGTATCCACATATACGTAAGTGATGCTGTGCATAAAGAGACGTGCACTTGCTCCAGATATGCACATCTTTCCATTGCTTGGTGATTGAAATTTCAAACATAAAACAATAAAAATAATTTATTGCTTATTGAATTTTGAGTTGTAATTGTACAGTTTGAATTATGTTACAGAATATGATAAATGCACACGTGAATATACTTACTAATTACTCAAATTTTGTATAATTACATGGGAACAGCATGGCAACACACAACAAAAATAATTATTTTATTTTCTCTCTACAGCAGATATAAGAGCGGGCAAATGCCAGGTGAGTACTGGCACGCATCAACACTCTGCACATGTCCAAACTGTAGTCTGCCTTTTCAGATTTTAAACTTCCAGCTTTTAATGATCTCAAAATCCTTGTAACATGTTTTGAACACTACAAAAAGTTTAAAAACTCATATTTGGCTAGAATAAAATTTAACATTAGTTACAGTCTAAAATTCAATTACAATTCCAGAACCAGTCTTCAGTTCACTGCTTATCATAAAAATTCCTTTCACTTTAAAAAATATCAGTGCACAGGTCATACCTGTCATTACTGGTGAGGTGATGACCCATCTCCCTCTACAGGTCTGTGCTCCCTCTGCATCACCAGGTCTCCAGACACGGCAGTTCCAGCACTACGCAGCGTGCCAGACAGGGATCAAAATGCTGACGGCAACAAACACGTGACGACCTTTGACACTGCAGGCAGTGGGGGAGGAGGTGGCCGTGTATGGACATGGTTAACCACACGTCGCACCACTACTGGGCCCGCGCAACTCTGTGCCGCCACGCAGAACGCGCCGGCCGAAAACCATTATACGATGGACGAGGCTTACACGGCCGTGGGGGAGGCACTGTATGCAGAGTTAGACCGGGAACTAAGTAACAGTCCGGCATACCAGAACACGGCCTACAACGGTTCGGACACAGACCCCGACGCCCCGCCTTCTTCTTCCTCAGCCCCCAGCAGTGCTTATTACTCAGACCTGTCATGTGCCACGGGACCAGATCGAACCTATGAGGCAGTGGGACTTGGTCTAGGCACGGGAACGCCATCTAGTAGCAGCTGGGACACAGGAGATATTGCATTGCGGCGACAGCAACCCATGTCCCGCCTTGCTGCTATCACAGAAACCATTACTGTGCCTTCAGACTACGTATAGTCTGCTTCTTTGAAGAGCATTGCAGCACATGTAACGCTACATTAAAAACACTTCAAGCCAGTGTGGTGCTACTGATGAGTTGCAGCAACCTATTACTAGTCATGCTTTAAATTTTTAGGAAAAATAGTGCAAACTGCGACTGTTCACATGTTATGAGCTCCAAACAAACGTGAGTGCCGGTGTATTTTAATTCTTTTAAACCAGTAAACTTTTCAGACTATCTGCAACAGGCATAAATAAAAATGTATGTCAGCAAACTGAGGTAATTAATGTAATGGTGATCATTACATTTATGAATAATGTAAAATAAGAAGCATGTAAATTATTTCTGGACTTTTAAACATAAACACTATTTTTGTATAATAGTAAAATCAATAAGTTTTATTACTTTGTGACAATAATGTACTGTGGGGCACCTCAGGATGGCTGTTAAAATGTTAAACTGTGAAAACAATGTTGAAGTCTGCAAGAAACATGAGATGTTGCCCGTGACACATTATGTTAATAGCCCTACATATTGCGTAGAACAGGCATGTCAAACTCAGTGTCAAAGAGGGCTGCATCACAGGTGGAAAAAATTGTAACCTCCAAACTTCAGGAATTCCAAGCTTCAGATATATTTTTCGTTCTTCAATCTTCCCACAGCACACAAATTTCAGTTTCACTGAAACATGAAAGTTGTACAGAATTAGCTATTTGATATGCATTGGAAACTTAATATTTATTGAAGTGGGCCACATATCGTGTAGACCTCAAGAACTACACAAAATGCTGGAGCAGTATTGCATGGGCCTCAAGTTTGACATGCCTGGTATAGATGCTTATTTAGAATCATATTTGTGATTTTGGTGAAAGGAAAAATTCATTTCTGGTTCACAACTGTAACCAGTGGTGTAAGCAGGTTGGTGAACAGGCGTGGCCTACAAATGAACTGTACAATAAAGTGTGGTCAAACTACCAGATATGTAACTTTCAAGACTTTTGACAAAACTTTCTATATTATAAATATCATTAATTTTAATTTTAAGATCCTGTTAAATGAACCTTTACACAGAATGAATCTCTAGATAGACAATTTTTTGTGTCTGCGTAACTTCATTCCATCGAATCCATTTTAAGGTTTGTATTGTCTGGGGAACTAAACAAATTTTGTGGCGAATCCTGCTAAGTACTAATTCCAGAGAAAAATAAAATTATATTTTTTGGAAATTATCCATTTTCAGGGATTAAATTACAACACTAATGAATGTTATAGGTATACTGTAGCATATTCCCAAGCTTACAGGAGGAAAGGACATCCAAGTGATAGCACATATGGCTTCTTGCTCCCCCCCTACTGTGATATAGGTCAGGCTTAGATATTTTTTATTTCCATTTTTTCCTTAAGATGAGTGTCTCTTGCATAATGTGTGTGCCAAACTTGACGATTTCAAGAAAATCTCTAATATAATAATACTTAAGATGCCTGTGTCATTGACAGCATAGTGTTAAGTGTGGCTACGTGTCCTCTGTTCGAAGTGGCACTGTTTCATAAATGAAATGTACAGACTTCACAAAGCAGTCCATAAGAAGCTAATAGTCAAGAAATTCTGAACCCTTTATTGAACTAAAAAGTTTATCGTGTTCACAAGAACCCATATGGCTGCCGCATCAGTGGGATGTCTGCTTCAGTGCCATTGGGGACTACTTCTAATGGCCTCTACTCCTTCACCTAGAACAATCACTTAACAGGTTTCATTAGAACAAGCCTTACAGATCACCACGATTTGGTCACCAGGATCCTGCATATAAAGGCTTGTACCAAAAACTGGCATTAAGGTAGGAGGCTTCATTCTGTGCATCCCACGTCTCCCAATCCCATTCTAGAGAGTTATTTTCTGTACGATCAATAACCTCAAATAAAGTATACCAGGCACACTACACTTGGGAACCCAAAAACTTTTGTTGACTTCCAGATTTTTAAAAATGGTTATTTAAAAGAAAATTACAAATTAAAACCTATACACATCACAGTAATTACATTAACAATAAAGGCATGACTTTTGTAAATAATGGTTTTAATACAATTGTTGCAAGTACATTAAATGGGCACGACTGCTTCGCTCTAAATAATGATGGACACATTACACAAACCCTGAACATCGTGGAATGATATCCAAGCTTGTGCCAAGAAGTTGTTAGTTGAAACTGGAAGTTCAGATCTCAGGTACGGAACCATAAATATGCCATTCCAATTTGGAGTAGCTTATTCAACAAAAGATATGTAATGAATTGTTGTTCTCCATTATTTACAGTAAGTACACAGCTCTCATTTAGAAACGTCCGTATAATAATCTAGTAAAAGACTTTCAAACATTTAAACACAATGATTTTTTTTGTATTAAGTGTGATGACCCTTAGAGCAAAGGAGTGTGAGGAAGTGTGACATCAGAATTCCAACATACAATTACATGTCCACGTGTGAAACGAGCATGTTTCCTTTATTATTCACAATATCCTGATAGCACACATGCAGCCTTCCTATATAATGACAGTTTGGCGATGACAAGCCACGTAGTGATATCTTATGCGTGATCACTAACAAAGTAAACCATGAGGCCCTCACAGAGCACAACACAATTGAAAGGAACAACAAAATGGCGAACAGCAGAAGCAATTTGTAAAACAGACAGTGATTACCGATTTCTTACATTTGCTCAAATCCAAGCACCTTGCTTTTAAGATGCAACACAGTTGAAAAATTAAGGCAATTTACACAGAAAGGGGCATTTGTTGGGTGCATATCTTTTTAGTCAGACCAGCAGAGATTATCAAGCATCCTGACACATACCATGATTATAAATTAATTTTAAATCATTATTTCATTTACAAATTGAACATGTTGTAGTAACTGACTGCATGTCAACTAGACCATCAATGTCAAATATAAACTACAATGCACATAAAGATTCCATCAAAATGTTATTCAGTATTCCACCATACTAACCATTATGCCATCGAGTTTTAGAATGCCTCACTGCAATTTATGTAACTCCATCAGAATCAAAGAAGCAAGAAAGACATGTTGCTGCAAAGTCTTAAAGCAAACTGGCAGCACACCAG